ACACTGGCGCCGGTTCGATGCCGGATGGTTTTTCTTCGGGCAAGTCACGGTGTCCGGAGAAAAGTGCCACCATCCCACACCCGGGCATGGCATGGCATGGCTGCTGCCCACTAAAAAATCTGCCAAAAGCAAAAAAACACACGTGTTTAAAACTTACAGAACCCTCTCCCACAGTAAAAACCACTCAATGGCCTAATAGTTGCCGCGGGTTAATTAATAAAAAAAAATTATAATAATAATAAGAGGTAGGTATATAACGTCATTCTTCAATGAAGATACTTCAGGTATTACTTTATTATTATTATTATTTTTTTTTTTATTATTATTATTTATTTATTTACAAACGAACAGTGAATAAGTACAATAAAGCGATAGGAACATTTGTTTGACACCTTCTTTAAGCAATTGCTTGTGTTGAAGGTGATGAGTTCATAATATCTTAATATCTAAACTCTAAAGTTTACACCGATCAGTTCTAATATTAAATTATTATTAAAAGGAGAAAGAGAAAAAAAAACAAAAAAACAAAACAAAACGTAAATTTAGAAATCGAATTAAATCCTTAAAGAAAACTTATTTGACTCATTATATAAGATTTAAAATGCTTAAAATTACTGAAATTATTAACATTAATTGACATTCTTTTATATAGTGTAAGTGCTCGATTTAGGCAACTTTTATATCCAAATTGTTTGTTACATTTTGGAATAGTTACATTTATATTTTTCCTAAATCTCGTATTGTAATCATGACTACAAGGAGGTAGGTACATTTAATGTTTAAAACTTAATAGCAAGGTACATTTAATAAGAAGTTTATCGATGTCTAAGACATTTAGTTCTTTATAAATAAATGTAGTACAAGTAAGCATAGAAAGTTTTAAAATAAATTTAATAATGTCATGATTAACATTCTGAATATTAAAAATAATATGTTTAGTCTTATTTAAATTTATATCTAGAATATTATTGTTGAACCATGATTTTACTATTTTAAATATATTATTAGCTTTATAGTATAATTTTTCAATATTTTTTTCTTCAATAAGAATGATAGTATCATCTGCAAAACAAATTGTTTTTGAATCAATATTAATATTAAGCAAACCATTAACATATATAATAAAAAAGATAGGTCCCAAAACGGTTCCTTGAGGAAAACCATGATTTATTTTTAAAGGTGAACTATATGAATCATTAATTTTGACTATTTGTATCCTATCAGTGAGGTAAGATCTAATAAAATCATTTTCTTTTCCGCGTATACCTGCATAATTTAATTTTTTTAGTAGTAACTCATGGTTAATACTGTCAAACGCTTTTTTAACGTCAAGAAAAATGCCCATAACTTTATTACCAATATCAAGATTCTCGTGAATGAATTTATTTACAAAAAAATGTGCATCGTTAATAGATCTACCTGGAATAAAACCAAATTGATTCATAGAGAAAAAAGAATTGGTATTAAGGAAATTCATAGTTCTAGTTTTGATGCATTTTTCAAAAATCTTAGATATACTTAAGGATAAAGAGATAGGTCTGTAGTTGCTACAATCTAGTTTGTCACCAGACTTAAACAGAGGGATAACTATACATTTTTTAAGACATGACGGATATTTACCGTTATCCAGGGACAAATTAAATAATAACGTTAATGGGAAAGAAATATTATGTATTGTTGACTTAAGAATGTAATTAGAGATACCATTTTCATAATATGAAGAGTAATTTTTAATTTTAAGAATGTCATTTATGATTTCTGCTTGAGTTATAGGAGTCAAAAACATAGAATTATTAACATGGCAATTTTTATTTAAATCTGTCCAGTCCTCATAATCATAGCCGTTTTTTTTTATATTATGTTCGATGTTTTTTCCCACGTTGGCAAAAAACGTATTAAATTCATTTGAAATACTGATATTTCCATTAGCGATCGAATTGTTACTAAGCCTAATACTATTTATTTCAACATTATATGTTTTTGTTCTATCTGCTATATTATTTATCGTTTCCCACATTTTTTTAGGATTATTTTGGAGTTTAGATAAAAGATCTTGATAATATATTTTTTTCCTATTTCTAATTAAAGTATTTAGAATATTAATATAATTATTATATTTTTGTTTTAAATTAGAATCAAATGGGCGTCTAAATAATTTTTTGGATAATTTATGCTTATGATTTGTGGAAATAATTAGTCCCTTAGTAATCCAATCTTTAATTCTTTTATATTTATTAGACATCTTAGATACGTGATTAAAAGAAGACATATTAATCATTTCTTCAATTTTATTTAAGAAATGTTGAAAAGATTTATCGATATTATTTCTGTCAATAATATCATTCCAATTTTGTAAACTTATTAATGAATTAAGAAGTTTTATATTGATTTTAGTTCTTGTTTTATTTTGTGAAGTATGACAGTCTTTGATATTATTAACAGAGTTTTCAATGAGAACTATTGTACCAAAATGATCAGTGATTTTACATTTTAGTATAAATGCTTGAATATTATCACTATTAATGTTTTTGGTAAAAATATGATCTAAACAAGAACAAGAACAAGAAATAAAATTATGTGATGCCATAGTATTAAGATAATCGAAATAAATATCAGGGTCGATAATATTTATATTTATATCACCCACTATAATGTAATAAACATTAGAATCGTTTAGTCGTTGAAGGTAATCATTTAGTCCGATAACGAAATTATCTTTATTACTATTTGGCGACCTATAAATTCCTATTATCGACAAAGTTTTCCCATTATGATCAAATACTAATTCAATAGAATTACATTCAGTAATAAAACCATGGGTGATGCTCTTTAAGTAAAAATTATTTTTTATAAAAATAGTTACACCATCGTTTTTATTTGTATGACCAAGCGAATTGATGTTATAATAACCATTTAGAACAAAATTAAAATCGACTAATAACCATGTTTCACTTAATATTAGAATATCAAAACTATCGTCCATACTACTTAGCATTATTACTAGTTCATCAAAGTTACAGTTTATACTACGAATATTCATTGAAAAAATACTAATGTTATATTTATTTTTATCTACAGAGAAAGACACTAAGTCATCAATATATTTTGTTTTCACATTATTTAAACGGTTAATTTCATTTAATACTAAGTTATCAATATTCATATAGAATAAGAGAAAATAAATACAAATAGACAATTACTTACAAATAGTATCTTATTAGTTATTAAAAAAAATGACAACGTTTATCCTGAGGATTCTAAGTCGTGAAGTTCCAAATGAGCCAACTTGTTTTCCACATCATATCCAGATATGTCTTTAATAGATTGTATTTTAATCGGAACATCTCCATCAGTCTCCTTTAAATACACTCCGTTCGAATTTGCCCAAACAAATTTTCAATTGTATTCTTTCGACAGTTGTTTTGTTAACCAAAATTTTTTTCTAAACATGGGTGAAAGTTCATGATTGACATAGACAATTTTGTCAGGAAAAGAGTTGTGTATTTGATTATATTTTAAAGGTTGTTTAGAAATAGCAAGTGATTTGACTCCATTTAGAAATGATTCTTTTATTGTTTTGCTATTAAATTTTACTATTATTTTACCACCAGATTTATCAACTTTTTTTATACGATAATTTGAGACTATATCATTCTTATGTAAATTGACTTTGATTATATCAGCAGTGAGTTTAATAATTTCATCGATGTTTTCATTTTTAGTATAAGGAATACCACTAATTGTTATATTGTTGGCTAATAATTCTTGCTCTATTGTAGGTGTATACAATAGTTTATTGTGTGGCAAGGGCTGGAAGTGATCAATTTCAGCGACAAGTCGGCAAAAGTAATGCACCATGCAGGGATATTCTATGCAACAAACAGACTATTCTACGAAAACAATTTCATGAAAGAAAATCGTTTGCTCGTCATGCAGGGAGGTTATAATATGAATGTAAGATGTTGCCCACGATGTAGATAACCTAAAGTTTATGTTTTGTAAGGACCGTGGTATATATAGTTTTCAGTGTTGCCCCAATAATTACTTATTCGAGAGGGGGTAACATTTATTTTACCCCCAATGATTTTTTGACATCATACAGCATACATTTTATACATACATTTATCTAGTTCAGTCTCAACACAAATTAATGTGACTTTTTGCTAAGGTTTCCTTTTAACTTTTCTTTGGTAGACAGTCGAACATTTTTTAGTTTTCTCAATTTTAAATGATTTTTGTTTAAGTTTCAACTTTAGACCCATATTGAAAATAATATATTGTGGATCTGTGTTCAACTTGACCGAGAGAGTAAATAATTTATCGATGATAATTAAAAATAAAAATGTTTAATGCTCAAAAAGAGTCTATACAGGGTGTCCCGTGAGGATATACCTATTAGCCGTAGAGGGGGACTCGTCGCCCGGACAAAAACCGATTTTTTGCCGTTTTACTTATTAATTAAAAAAATTATTAAAAATCAGGAAATTAATGAAATTAAAATGTTGAAACGTCAATATTTTCAGAAAAATGAACTCTACAAAATGGCAATCTTCAATATTTTTTTAAATAAATAATTAAAAAAATAATTTTTTAACTTTTTTACCAAAACATAAAAAAAAAATAAAAATTAGTTATTTGTAGTGCTTACAACATATTATATTATAATTTATAAGAATAAAAAAATTTATATTAACTTATATTTTTCTATTAATCAACCCTGAATCAAATACCTACAAAATTATATTTATATTATAAATACATAGGTACATATATTATATACCTATATATATATATGTATGAATATAATATATAATATACTTATATATAAAGAGGTGCACATTTTAAAAGTGTATTTTAAAGCATAAATCTTTTATGCCTTTACATTCCTTTCCTCACGATTTATGAATATTACTTATTTACTACTAATACTTACCCATTAACACTTATGTATTATAGCTGAAGATTGCAAAAAACGTTGGCGGAATATACGCGATACTTATATGAGACATAAAAAAAAACTTGGAACTGGGTCGTCAGCATTGTCAAAAAAGAAATGGGCTTTGGCTGACAATTTAACATTCTTGAACACCGTAGAATACGAAAGAAAGTAAGTAACTTATGCCAAAAACAATACTTTAAATTGTTTACTCAAATAACAACCATATTAGGTATATGTAGGAATGTTAACATTCGTTTATTATGTGTTGTACCTAGGTTTTATACTAGAACGCTACTTAATAAAAATTAAAAACTATTTATTTTTACTAGTGGCGTACGCAGGGGTAGGATTCTAGGGTTCTGACCGCCTGAAATTTATTTTTTCTGCAAAAAATCTTATTTACCACCATTTTGATACACACAGATCAATTTTTGGACATTTTTAATAGATATAAAATAAATTGTTGAATATGACAAATACGTCGATAATCATAGTTTTAGATTCTGAGTGGAACGATTTTACAAATAAAATTTTATTGATATTTATAGAAAAAAAAAATAAAAAAAATTACCGACTGAAAACTTGCAAATTATTTTGAGTTAGAAATTCATAAAAAATTTTATTTTTAAGTCTAAGATTTGAAAATGTAATACAAGATTATTCACAAGTTTGTCTACCTTTATAAAAAACAGTGTCTAGAAGAAAGTTAAATAATAATAACAAATAATAACAATTAAATATATTAAATATTTCAGTACAACGACAAATGTTAATGCGAATGTTACAACAACAATTAATGATAACGCAAATGATAACGCAAATGATAATGCAAATGGTTCTTTAATGGATACCTTAAGTGAAGAAAGTAGTGAGTTATTTGAAGAAGACACTGAAAAATCCACTAAAGACCCAAATTCTAATGAACTTCAAAACCCAAACAAAAAATTTAAATCTAAGTACAACAAGACAGATTTTTCAAAACGTCAATTGGAAAGAGCCGTTATTATTCAAAATTTACAAAAACAAAATGAAACGATTTTAAATAAAGTGACAAACAATGACGAAACCGATTTATTTTTCCAAAGTATTGCGGCAATGGTGAAAAAACTACCTCCTAGAGGCATAAGCGAGGCAAGACTTCAAGTTCTAAAAACGGTGTCACAACTCGAAGACAAGTATTTAATTAATCCTCATGTACCTACCCCAGTGGCATTTTCAACTACCACTGTTTCTGGATATGATTACAACATAGCCCAGTCAAGTTCTACACCATCATGTCAAAGTTTGCCAACAAACTCGCAAGGATTTGTACCATTTGTATATGACAATAATTTTACAACACAAAAATAATATATATTTTTTTTTAATATTGTCTTATAAGATACATTTATTATATTATATAACAAAAATACAAGTATCCGTTTTAAGGTGATTCAATTTTTTTTCTATAAATATTTTAAGATTTTCTGTTGTATAAGTATAACAAAAGAACAAATGTTATTTTAAAAACCCAAAGTATAATTTTTAATCATTTTTTTTTTACATTTTTAATTGTTATGTTATGTTAAAATGATTTAAAGGAATTACACATATTGTTTATAACAAATTATTAAATATACAAGGTGAGTATTTAAAGCAGGTACTACACATTTTATGTTATTTGTCTTCCTGCCATGACACAGATCCTTCATTGTTAAAAAAATCCATAAAAGAATCTCGAACTAAAAAACCTTCTGCATTTGTAAAACCACCACCTCTTGTTATTGGTATTAGGTTGTTTGTTTGTAGTGTTGTACTTGAATCACGTTCCTCAAAAAATGCTTGTCCATTCTCTTCTAAATATGCTTCTCGTAGTAAATTATGCAAACAACAAGCAACTACAATAAGATCATCACACGTCATTGGGTCAATGTTAATGGGCTGATAAAATACACGAAATACCTGGCTTAACAATCCAAATGCGTTTTCCGTCACCCTCCTAGCACGGCTCAATCTATAATTAAAAACTGCCTTTGATTTATCGTGTCTTGCAGATTGTCGAGTATATGGTTTCATAATATTAGGGTGTAGTCTAAAAGCTTCATCTCCTACTATAACGTGAGGTAATACTTTATCAGATCCAGGTAATTGTTTTTTATCTGGAAAACCAAATGATCCATCCAGTATCTGTTGACCCACAGCAGATTTTAAAAATATGCCACTGTCTCCTTCTCTGCCAAATGAACCAACATCAATAACAATAAATTTATAGTTGGCGTCGACCATCGCTAACATTACAATAGAGAAGTAATCTTTATAGTTAAAAAACAGCGATCCTGTTTTTTCTGGACATCTAATTCGAACGTGTTTTCCATCTATAGCTAGAACGCAATTTGGAAAATTCCATTTAGTCCAAAACTCTGATGCTTTTTTATTTAAGTCGATAGTTGATATATCGGGTAGAAAAATTGGCATAAGGTGTTTTTTCAACGTCGAAAGTGTATCTTTTACGATGACACTAATGTAACTATGTGAAATTCTGAACGCAAAAGAAAGTGACCGAAATGATTCCCCAGTAGCAAGATATCTGCAGAAAGTTACAATAAAAAATTAAAATTTGTCTTGTAGACATTTTTTTTGAAACGCCACTGATATATTTATTATAATTATGACATAATTCAGTTTGACTACCTATCAATTTTTTAACTTTTTTTTTAAAATGTGTTTTTGCATGCTTTATAAGAATGTAAAAAAAAGGTCGGACAAACTTTGTTTTGAAGTTATCTGTGAAGAACTTCAAAAAGTACATACAGATTTTTCGTTAGTTTACCAGTATTTTTTTTTAAAAAATACTAAGAATTGAATATTTTTTTAAACGTGTGGTTTTTAACGGTCAATAGATTAGTAAAATCAAAATTTACCTATCATACTTAATTTTTAGATTAAATTTGAAAAGGTTATTTTTCAAGATTTACGTGGAAAAACTTCAAAATTATGTATGAAAGGTAAGTTTTGATTTTACCAAACTATTGATCGTTAAAAACCACACATTTAAAAAAAGGTGGGCAAGTGGATGTCGCTCTGCTGTACAGTAGGTTACAAGTGGGTCACTGTTTAATGGATGGTATTAAATTTGAATTCAATGATATAATATCATTGTATAAGAAAAACGATTCTGAGCGGAGACGGTAAGTCAGTCTAGGTTTAAAACATATTATATACATATCTATGGTATTAAAAAAAAAATGACCTATCATAGGTACCTATAATAAATTCCAAATTAATCTTATCACAATATCCATTAAGTACTTATAACGCGTTATACATCAACAACAAACCGTGATACTATCATAGATATATAATAGTACAAATTACAAGTTTTAAGTGCCCAGTTTCAAGAAAAATTTTTACGAATTCTTAACTCAAAATAATTTGCTAATTTTCGTGATTTTTTCATATTTTCTCAATTTTTGAACTTTAAATGCTTATAAAAAAAAACTGTGACTAAGGATTTTTAATATTTTCATCTGCCTTTGTAACAATATAGTAGGAACCTTGTATTAAATTTTCAAGTATTTCTACTCAAAAAACAAAGTTTTATTGATATTTTTAGAAAAAAAACTAAAAAAAAATGGAAAATGAAAATGTCCCTAAACAGTTCAAAATAAATCAAAATATTTTTAAAATGTTATCGTGTATAGAAAAGGCAAATATAAACAACCAGTCAAAATTTCATGTTTCTACATTTATTTGTTTTAAAGTTACACCAAAAACCAAATTCGATTTTCTAAAACAATCTAAAACAAATTGGAAAATATTCAATTCTAAGTAGGTATCTTTTCTTTTTTTAAATACGATTTTCGGAAACATAAATTTTGAAGTTTTTTAATGTTAACTTCCAAATGACCATCGTGTACCATCAAATTAACCATACAAAAACAAACATTTAAAAAATATATATTTAATAAAAATCGATAGGTAGCTAAACTACAATTGTGCCATAATTATTATTGATTAATAAAAAAATTACGTATTTACCTTAAAGTAACAGCTAATTTCTCATCGGGCGAAATTGGATTTTTTATTCTGTTTGATGCAGGTAATGTTAAATCGTCTTTTATTAATGCTAATATAAAATGAAACTGATCATAATTTAGCCGAAAAAATTCGCGAAATTTATTTTTATTTTCTCTTAAGTGGCTATTTATTAAAACTTTAAAGAAGCCTTCTTTTTCTCTTGTTTTAAATAAATTACTTATAGGCTTCCTGTATGCATTTGAAGTATACATTATTTCTTCTTCTTCCTAATCTTCTAATAAATGTATGATTATTTTATTGTTATTTATAATTACTTGTTCCATCTTTAGTGATTTGTTACGACAAATTAAATAAATACGTGTGTGCACATTGAAATATTGAGCTAAACTGAAAATAAATGCCAGCCGCAGCATTCAGTCGTCTTGTAGGAAACCAGTACACACGCAACGATCAATCGTTCGGCCAAATCGTTGCGGCTGGCCGCAACGACTAGTCGCAGCTTGGAAACCGTACCTTAAGGCCGCACGGCCGCGCTCTCGACACCCGCGGGCGACGGGCCGCCGACGACCAGAGCTTCTCTCGTTCTTCTCGCACGACGCTCGACCTACTCGCACCGCACGTAACGCGCTCCGTGTTGACCGACGCGAAACGATTAACGAGCGAATACGACCGTTTGTTTTAATTATTTAACTACCCGCTCTACGTACGAGCGGCAGTATTATATGTGTTTTATATTTGTACCTTTTTTTATACATAATAAATTATTTAGCGACGCAAACGCGTCCGACAACAATCACACTTTTTTAGTTCGTTCGGTGTACGCGGACTTGGTAACCTTTCCTTCTGACCAAGAGTCAAGACGTTTTGGGTAAGCGCGGTGTTTCGCACTTACCAAAGTAGGAATAGGGAGTCGTCTATCTAGTATTTTTATACTTCCGCCACAATGCCATAGATGATAAAGATAACGGACAATATTATCTATGGACTATGGTCTTACGTGAATGTACGTCGCGCGAACGGGCACGACAGATTTGTAACACGTTTTTAAATATTGTTGGTTAAACGCACCGTCCGGCGCGTACGAGGCTCCTGCGGCCGCGGTTGTTGTTAGTGCGGCGGCGGCGTCGGCGGTGTACCGCGGACGCGGGACGACACCCCGGCGCCGCGAGACAGGACTATCAAATAATTTGAGCCACGCACATCGCAACCACGTTTTGACGCGAAACGAATACGCGCCGGACGCACAGAGTGCACGGACCGACGGCGACAGCAACTCTGACGTACTTCTCGTGAGTGTATCACAGCTCCGGCATTCCTCTCATTACATGAACACGGGCGTGCACTGACTTTTGGAAAGTTTTTTTTCGGGATTCGAAACTATGACGTCGTCAACATTATTCGAGGAAATCGTCATGTTCAATTCGTTCTTTTTGAACACTGGATGGAGCTATGAAAATTTGGTTATTTTATTTGATACTTATTCCTCCGCCAGTTCCGGTGACCGAGCCGTTAGCATAAAACTGTTTACGGCGTCGGCGGTGTACCGCGGACGACACCCCGGCGCCGCGAGACAGGACTATCAAATAATTTGAGCCACGCACATCGCAACCACGTTTTGACGCGAAACGAATACGCGCCGGACGCACAGAGTGCACGGACCGACGGCGACAGCAACTCTGACAGTCTGACTTACTTCTCGTGAGTGTATCACAGCTCCGGGCATTCCTCTCATTACATGAACACGGGTGTGCACTGGCTTTTAGAAAGTTTTTTTTCGGCATTCGAAACTATGACGTCGTCAACATTATTCGAGGAAATCGTCATGTTCAATTCGTTCCTTTTGAACACCGGATGGAGCTATGAAAATTTGGTTATTTTATTTGATACTAATGCCTCCACCAGTTCCGGTGACCCAGCCGTTTACACAGTTCTGGTATCAAGTGGCGAGGGTTGTCTACCCTATTTTAAGGCAAGAATAATTTATTAATTCTTAACGAATACTATTCTAGTAAATTTATATATTTCTGTAGATTAGTATTACCCATGTACTATTATTAAATATTCATTTAAGTATTTAATACGTTAGGTTCAATTGAACATAACGTGACGAATCGTGTGGGGTTCTGTTAAAGTATTGCCGAAGTCGGTCGAGCCATAAAATAAAATAGGTTTTAAATTCTTATAAATATGTTTTATAATTATAAATAATAATTATATTTGATAAAATATATCTAGATATTGAGCATTTATAAGTCTCATCTTACACCATGTATTGATGTTAGCAAGATGGGACAAATTCCATTTTTTAAACTTAATTTCTTGATTTAAATAAT